GGCGCGGGTTCGATTCCCGCACGAGGCAGAAACAAATGGGCAAAGTTTCTTTCACCCTGAATGCCCCTGTTACCTAGCAGTAAATAGGTACCTGGGAGTTAGTCAGCTGTCACGGGCTGCTTCCTGGGGTGTGTGTGTGTGTGTGTGTGTGTGTGTGTGGTGTGGGGAAAAAAAAAAGTAGTTAGTAAACAGTTGATTGACAGTTGAGAGGCGGGCCGAAAGAGCAAAGCTCAACCCCCGCAAAAACACAACTAGTAAACACAACTAGTAAACACACACACACACACACACGACCAAAGCACAACCCCCGCACGCACAACTTGGTGAGTGCGTAGCTGACCAAGACCCAAGTCTCACTAGACCCCCAACTCACTCCTAGACACACTATTGTGACCTAAACAATGTATATATTCATCTAGAATTTCTTATCTTTCCAACATGAGTGCAGAGAATGATTAAACTGTTTGTGGTAGCAGTGTACATTGGAGGTAGCAAACGGTGCCGGACCCCAGAAGATTAAGGAAGGTCAAGTGTTCGGGTTAAGACGGCACCTATACCTGCCGGCTTGATAATTAACCAGCCGCTCGGTCAATAACTTTTGGCAAGGACGTTACATCCAGGTGACACAAGATCATTTCAGTTGTATGTGAGTACACTGCCTATGGTGCTTGTGGGGTGTGGCCGGGGTGTGGGGTGTGGCCGAGGTGTGTGGGGTGTGGCCGGGACTGTCCAGGGCAGTCAAGCCAGGAGCTTGGAGGTGGACTTTACCTCAGTGTGACGACCTGGGAGAACAGGTCCCCCTGAGCTGGGACGGGCCCAGAGGGTCCCCCTGAGCTGGGACGGGCCCAGAGGGTCCCCCCTGAGCTGGGACGGGCCCAGAGGGTCCCCCCTGAGCTGGGACGGGCCCAGAGGGTCCCCCCTGAGCTGGGACGGGCCCAGAGGGTCCCCCCTGAGCTGGGACGGGCCCAGAGGGTCCCCCCTGAGCTGGGACGGGCCCAGAGGGTCCCCCCTGAGCTGGGACGGGCCCAGAGGGTCCCCCCTGAGCTGGGACGGGCCCAGAGGGTCCCCCCTGAGCTGGGACGGGCCCAGAGGGTCCCCCCTGAGCTGGGACGGACCCAGAGGGTCCCCCCTGAGCTGGGACGGACCCAGAGGGTCCCCCCTGAGCTAGGACGGACCCAGAGGGTCCCCCCTGAGCTGGGACGGACCCAGAGAGTCCCCCCTGAGCTGGGACGGACCCAGAGGGTCCCCCCCTGAGCCGGGACTGGCCCAGAGGGTCCCCCCCTGAGCCGGGACTGGCCCAGAGGGTCCCCCCAGAGCCGGGACGGACCCAGAGGGTCCCCCCTGAGCTGGGACGGACCCAGAGGGTCCCCCCCTGAGCTGGGACGGACCCAGAGGGTCCCCCCTGAGCTGGGACGGGCCCAGAGGGTCCCCGCTGAGCTGGGACGGGCCCAGAGGGTCCCCCCTGAGCTGGGACGGACCCAGAGGGTCCCCCCTGAGCCGGGACGGGCCCAGAGGGTCCCCCTGAGCCGGGACGGCTACCAATAATTGGGCATCAGTAACCTTTGTAAACCTAACTGGACGTCTTGGGAAAATTGGTTGAGGGTTTGTTGATGTTAATGTTGACAATGATTTAACATATGGCAAATACATATATTACATTACAATATGTAACTCGCAGTTTTCAACGGCACGACGCACTCCGGGAGACACGACGCACTCCAGGAGACACGACGCACTCCAGGAGACACGACGCACTCCCGGAGACACGACGCACTCCCGGAGACACGACGCACTCCCGGAAACACGACGCACTCCCGGAAGCACGACACACTCCCGGAAGCACGACGCACTCCCGGAAGCACGACGCACTCCCGGAAACACGACGCACTCCCGGAAGCACGACACACTCCCGGAAGCACGACGCACTCCCGGAAGCACGACGCACTCCCGGAGACACGACGCACTCCCGGAGACACGACGCACTCCCGGAAGCACGACGCACTCCCGGAGACACGACGCACTCCCGGAGACACGACGCACTCCCGGAGACACGACGCACTACTGGAGGCACGACGCATTCCCGGAGACACGACGCACTCCCGGAGACACGACGCACTCCCGGAGACACGACGCACTCCCGGAGACACGACGCACTCCCAGAGACACGACGCACTCCCAGAGACACGACGCACTTGAGACGTGTGGAGTGCATGTCGTCTAGAGGATACAGGAGACACTCCACAAGACACTCACCACCAGTTAAGGCCCTCACACGTACCTGAAAGACAAATATAAAGCCAAAGTTGTTACTCAAGTTTGATATCAAATCCGACGAAAGATTAATTCATAATGTCAACATTTATAATTATTGTTCTGACAAGATATTCCAGTAATTATCTTAGTATGCAAATTACACGTATGTTAAAGTACATTTTAGAGCTGTAAAAGAGGGGAGACGGAGATGGGACACGATGTGAGGGGCGGGAAGGAAGAGCAATTGTCGGAAAAACCTTCACCATTACTAATATTCAATACAACATGCTGATAATATTGCTGTTGTTTTGTAATAATAAATTAACCCTAGAAATAGTGCTTTAATCACTCAGAAAATGAGACACAGAGGAAATTTCCTCCGGTAGAAAACGGAGATATCATTGCCACATATCGCTATTCAATTCACCAGCAAATAATGGGAAACATCCTTAATACTTCAGACTGTAAACATCACAAAGACATTTCACGTGAACCAACTTAATTATCAGTACCAAAATAGAGTAAATGTTGGCCCTCTAACCCCATCTTGACGCCCCTGGGCACGACGCTGGACGAGTCAGTGGGAGGCGGCCACAGGGAGTCGCCACTTAACAAGTCTCGCTGGAGCAAATGTAGCTCCGATAATTTTCCCCTTGGCCAACAGTGTTATGGGTAGTAAAGTGCTCCCATTATCAAGACCACACCAACACCAAGTGCTCTACCGGAACCCATTTATTATCTTTCATTCCTGATCAGTAATGTTAGGTAGCTATAGGGTGATCCGGTTAGATTACGAGTCGAGACACAAGACAAGGTAATTATTATTAACCTCATCTAATAAATCATTACAATATTTACTCTGATATAGCTGTCATATGTAGGATTCCTGCTATTATTGTAAGTGTCCTTTGACAGGTATAATTGAAGAGGAAGAAGAACTAGTGACCTGACCCCCCAGTAACATGTGGTTATACAAGCCTCACACACCAGGATTATTTGGTGTCATCATCCTCATTCATAACCGGTGGTTACATTGAGGTTATCCTTGAGGTGTTTTCGGGGCTTAGTGTCCCCGTGGCCCGGTCGTCGACCAGACCAGACCTATATACCCCCAGTATACAGTGGGCCAGGTGGACCAGACCCACTATATGCAGGTAACACCTCCCCGTTTAGTTACTAACATGTAGTCTAATACTGTAGTGAATGTCTACTAACCAATAATTGATATTGATGACTATTAACCTTAAATCCCCCAGAATGTGTAAGGAAGCGATTTGTGGGAATACTTTAACCATTTTAATTAATTAAATGAACACCATTATGAAGTATTAGGACACAAACTCTCTATTATTAACAGGTGTAATGGTGGCCACCTTATAGGAAGACGGTGAGAGAGGATTCAGACTGGGGGGGGGAGTGTAAGTGTGTGTGTGAGTGAGTGTAAGTGTGTGTGTGTGTGTGTGTGTGTGTGTGTGTGTGTGTGTGTGTGTGTGTGTGTGTGTGTGTGTGTGTGTGTGTGTGTGTGTGTGTACTCACCTATTTGTGCTTGCGGGGGTTGAGCTTTGGCTCTTTGGTCCCGCCTCTCAACTGTCAATCAACTGGTGTACAGATTCCTGAGCCTACTGGGCTCTATCATATCTACATTTGAAACTGTGTATGGAGTCAGCCTCCACCACATCACTGTCTAATGCATTCCATCCGTTAACTACTCTGACACTGAAAAAGTTCCTTCTAACGTCTCTGTGGCTCATGTGGGTACTCAGTTTCCACCTGTGTCCCCTTGTTCGCGTCCCACCAGTGTTGAATAGTTTATCCTTGTTTACCCGGTCGATTCCTCTGAGGATTTTGTAGGTTGTGATCATGTCTCCCCTTACTCGTCTGTCTTCCAGTGTCGTAAGATGCATTTCCCGCAGCCTTTCCTCGTAACTCATGCGTCTTAGTTCTGGGACTAGTCTAATGGCATACCTTTGGACTTTTTCCAGCTTCGTCTTGTGCTTGACAAGGTACGGGCTCCATGCTGGGGCCGCATACTCCAGGATTGGTCTTACATATGTGGTGTACAAGATTCTGAATGATTCCTTACACAGGTTCCTGAATGCTGTTCTGATGTTAGCCAGCCTCGCATATGCCGCAGACGTTATTCTTTTTATGTGGGCTTCAGGAGACAGGTTTGGTGTGATATCAACTTCTAGATCTTTCTCTCTGTTCGTGTGTGTGTGTGTGTGTGTGTGTGTGTGTGTGTGTGTGTACTCACCTAGTTGTACTCACCTAGTTGTGTTTGCGGGGGTTGAGCTCTGGCTCTTTGGTCCCGCCTCTCAACCGTCAATCAACTGGTGTACAGATTCCTGAGCCTATCGGGCTCTGTCATATCTACATTTGAAACTGTGTATGGAGTCAGCCTCCACCACACCACTGCCTAATGCATTCCACCTATTAACTACCCTGACACTGAAAAAATTCTTTCTAACGTCTCTGTGGCTCATCTGGGTACTAAGTTTCCACCTGTGTCCCCTTGTTCGTGTTCAACGAACACGAACGTCCTTTACAACGTTGTATTGGACGTGTGGGCGTCCGGTACAACGCCCACACGTCCAATACAACGCCCACACGTCCAATACAACGCCCACACGTCCGGTACAACGCCCACACGTCCAGTACAACGCCCACACGTCCGGTATAACGCCCACACGTACGGTGCAAGGCCCACACGTCCTGTACAACGCCCACACGTCCAGCACAAGACCCACATGCCCAGTACACGGCCCACACGTCCAGCACAAGGCCCACACGTCCAGCACAAGGCCCACACGTCCAGCACAAGGCCCACACGTCCAGCACAAGGCCCACACGTCCAGCACAAGGCCCACACGTCCAGCACAAGGCCCACACGTCCAGCACAAGGCCCACACGCCCAGTACACGGCCCCACACGTCCAGCACAAGGCCCACACGTTCAGCACAAGGCCCACACGTCCAGTACACGGCCCCACACGTCCAGCACAAGGCCCACACGTCCAGCACAAGGCCCACACGTCCAGCACAAGGCCCACACGTCCAGCACAAGGCCCACACGTCCAGCACAAGGCCCACACGCCCAATACACGGCCCCACACGTCCAGTACAAGGCCCACATGTCCAGCACAAGGCCCACACGTCCAGCACAAGGCCCACACGCCCAATACACGGCCCCACACGTCCAGCACAAGGCCCACACGTCCAGCACAAGGCCAAATCAAGGTAAGATACCCACACAATTAATAAAATAAGATCTGATTAGACACGGGTGTTGGGATTCACTGCAATAGACGACCGACAATTGAAAAGGTGGCACCTAGAACTAAAGCTAGCACATGCACATTCATCAAACAAGCCAAGAGATGAACATGCGCGCGCGCGCAGAAGAGTTCTACACAAAAAAGCAACTTCGTGGTTTGACGACCAAACCACTTATCAGTAGATGGAGAAACGACGTCGGATGGGTCAGTCCTGGACCATTATCAAGTGGTGTGTGAGGGAGAGATAAAGATAAAGCCACCCACAAGGGGTGGCACGGGCATGAATAGCCCGTGAACAGAGAGAGAGAGGAAGGAACTGCCAATCAGTACGGAAAGAGTGAGGTGAGGAGTACGTAACTGAAGAAGGTAATTCCCAGGAGGAGGAAGGAGGAGGTTCGTGGTTCTTTTAGTAAGTAGGAAGAGAAACCACTGGAGTTTTTCCCCGTAAGCAAGAAGTTGTGTTGGGCGGATGACAAAACCAGTTTGGTAATACCTGTACAGTGATGCAGCTCATAATGTGCGGGGGATACGCCGGCAACAGTCACGCATGCCTGCACACACACACCAACGCGCACACACACACACACACACTGACTACTGTGTTGTGAGGAAAGAGAGGGAAGGAAGAGGTGGTGGTGGGGGTGTAGCTCTGCTGGTAATCAAAGGCTGGGGTTTTGAGGAGATGGTTATTCAGGGGTGTGAAGGTTTCAGTGACTACATAACAGGTACCATAACAACTACAGGACAAAAAATCATAGTCGTAGTGATATATAATCCACCACCAAATGACAGGCAGGAATATGATAGAAACAACATGGCCACCATTAACATAATAGAGAGAGCAGCTTCTGTCGCTAGCAGGAATGAACCTGGACTATTAATCATGTGAGACATCAACCACAACAAGATAGATTAGGAGAACAGAGACCCACATGGAGGACCATGGAGAGCTAAGCTGCTCGATGTGCCTACAAGAAACTCTCTAAGCCAGCACATGCAGGAACCAACAAGAATGAGAGGAGAAGATGAAGCAGTCATGCTTGATCTGATATTTACCCTAAATGAGTGAGATATAAGGGAAGTTAGGTTGGAAGCCCCCTTGGGAATGAGTGATCACAGAGTATTGATCTTTGAGAACCTAGTAGAGCTAGGATTTATTTCCCCCCAAAAAAGAACTAGGAAACAAAAGGCTGGCATACCGAAAGGGGAATTATGAGGGGATGAGAAGTTTCCTAAGGGATATACCATGGGACACAGACCTAAGTCTGTACAAGACATGATGGACTATGCCACCCACCCGGCTTTGGAAGGATTCGAAATTACGAGAGATGAAGTCAAGAGACACCTGTTGGATTTGGATGTGAGAAAGGCTGTTGGTCCAGGCGGGATCTCACCATGGGTATTGAAAGAGTGTGCCGAGGAACTTTGCTTGCCACTCTCCATAATGTATAGTAGGTCACTGGAGACGGGAGACCTACCAGAAATATGGAACACAGCTAATGTGGTCCCAATTTCCAAAAAGGGTGACAGACAAGAGGCACTGAACTACAGGCCAGTGTCCTTAACTTGTATACCATGCAAGGTGATGGAGAAGATCGCAAGGAAAAAACCTGGTAACACATCTGGAGAGAAGGGACTTCGTGACAACCCATCAACATCTTGAGGTTATCTTCAGATGATTTCGGAGCTTAGCGTCCCCGCGGCTCGGTCCTCGACCAGGCCTCCTTTTTGTTACACCCCCCTCCCCCCAGGAAGGGGCCCGTAGCAGCTGTCTAACTCCCAGGTACCCATTTACTGCTAGGTAACAGGAGCATCAGGGTGAAAGAAACATTTTGTCTCCGCCTCCACCGGGGATCGAACCCGGAACATCAGTACTACGAATCCGAAGTGCTGTCCACTCAGCTGTCAGGCGCCCTACTCCTGTACCCTCCATGAACATGGGTTCGAGGAGGTTAAATCTTGCCTTACAGGCTTAATAGAATTCTGCGACCAGGTGACAAAGATTAAGCGAGAAAGAGAAGGATGGGCGGACTGCATTTTCTTGGATTGTCGGATTACCTTTGACACAGTACCCCATAAGAGGCTGGTATATAAGCTGGAGAGACAGGCAGGAGTAACTGGTAAGGTGCTCCAGTGGATAAGGGAGCACCTAAGCAATAGAAAGCAAAGAGTTACAGTGAAGGGTGAGACATCAGATTAGCGTGAAGTCACCAGTAGAGTCCCACAGGGCTCTGTACTCGGTCCTATCCTGTTTCTGATATACGTAAATGATCTCCCAGAGGATATAGACTCATTTCTCTCAATGTTTGCTAACGATGCCAAAATTATGAGAAGGATTAAGACAGAGGAAGCTTGAGGCTTCAAGAAGACCTAGACAAACTAAAGAATTGGTCGAACAAATGGTCGTTAGAGTTTAAATCAAGCCAATATAATGTAATGAAGATAGGTGTAGGGAGCAGGAGGCCAGATACAAGGTATCATTTGGGAGATGAAATACTTCACGAGTCAGAGAGAAAGCCTGGGGGTTGATATCACGCCAGACCTGTCCCCTGAAGCCCATATCAAGAGGATAACATCAGCGGCATATGCCAGGCTGCCAATATAAGAACGGCATTTAGAAACTTGTGAAAGGAATCATTCAGAACTTTGTATACCACATATGTCAGACCAATACTGGAGTATGCAGCCCCAGCATGGAGTCCATATCTAGTCAAGCATAAGACTAAACTGGAAAAGGTTCAAAGGTTTGCCACCAGACTAGTACCCGAGCTGAGAGGTATGAGCTACGAGGAGAGACTACGGGAATTAAACCTCACGTCGCTAGAAAACAGAAGTTAGGAGGGACATGATCTCCACACACAAGTTTCTCAATGATTTTGAAAAGGGAAGATAAAGACAGGCGGTTTAACACAAGGGGCACACGCACTAGGGGACACAGGTGGCAATTGAGTGTTCAAATGAGCCATATTAGAAAGAACTTTTTTAGTGTCAGAGTGGTTGACAAATGGAATGCATTAGGAAGTGATGTGGTGGAGGCTGACTCCATACACAGTTTCAAGTGTAGATATGATAGAGCCCAATAGGCTCAGGAACCTGTACACCTGTTGATTGTCAGTTGAGAGGCGGGACCAAAGAGCTAGAGCTCAACCCCCGCAAGCACAACTAGGTAAGTACACACACACGAACACACCGCCACGTCATGTAGACGCCCCACCAGGCGCGCCCCACACACACACACACGGGTCACAAGCACCAGGCGCGCCACACACACACGGGTCACAAGCACCAGGCGCGCCACACACACACACGGGTCACAAGCACCAGGCGCGCCACACTCACGGGTCACAAGCACCAGGCGCACCACACTCACGGGTCACAAGCACCAGGCGCGCCACACACACTCACGGGTCACAAGCACCAGGCGCGCCACACACACACGCACGGGTCACAAGCACCAGGCGCGCCACACACACACGGGTCACAAGCACCAGGCGCGCCACACACACACGGGTCACAAGCACCAGGCGCGCCACACACACACACACACACGGGTCACAAGCACCAGGCGCGCCACACACACACACACGGGTCACAAGCACCAGGCGCGCCACACACACACACGGGTCACAAGCACCAGGCGCGCCACACACACACACGGGTCACAAGCACCAGGCGCGCCACACACACACACGGGTCACAAGCACCAGGCGCGCCACACACACGGGTCACAAGCACCAGGCGCGCCACACACACACACGGGTCACAAGCACCAGGCGCGCCACACACACGGGTCACAAGCACCAGGCGCGCCACACACACACACACACACACGGGTCACAAGCACCAGGCGCGCCACACACACACACACACGGGTCACAAGCACCAGGCACGCCACACACACACACGGGTCACAAGCACCAGGCGCGCCACACACACACACACACACACACACGGGTCACAAGCACCAGGCGCGCCACACACACGGGTCACAAGCACCAGGCGCGCCACACACACACACGGGTCACAAGCACCAGGCGCGCCACACACACACACACGCGCCACAAGCACCAGGCGCGCCACACACACACACACACACGCGTCACAAGCACCAGGCGCGCCACACACACACACACACACGGGTCACAAGCACCAGGCGCGCCACACACACACACGGGTCACAAGCACCAGGCGCGCCACACACACGCACGTGTCACAAGCACCAGGCGCGCCACACACACGCACGGGTCACAAGCACCAGGCGCGCCACACACACACGCACGGGTCACAAGCACCAGGCGCGCCACACACACACACGGGTCACAAGCACCAGGCGCGCCACACACACACACACGGGTCACAAGCACCAGGCGCGCCACACACACACACGGGTCACAAGCACCAGGCGCGCCACACACACACACACGGGTCACAAGCACCAGGTGCGCCACACACACGGGTCACAAGCACCAGGCGCGCCACACACACACGGGTCACAAGCACCAGGCGCGCCACACACACGCACGGGCCACAAGCACCAGGCGCGCCACACACACGGGTCACAAGCACCAGGCGCGCCACACACACAGGTCACAAGCACCAGGCGCGCCACACACACGCACGGGTCACAAGCACCAGGCGCGCCACACACACGCACGGGTCACAAGCACCAGGCGCGCCACACACACACACGGGTCACAAGCACCAGGCGCGCCACACAAACACACGGGTCACAAGCACCAGGCGCGCTACACACACGGGTCACAAGCACCAGGCGCGCCACACACACGGGTCACAAGCACCAGGCGCGCCACACACACTCACGGGTCACAAGCACCAGGCGCGCCACACACACTCACGGGTCACAAGCACCAGGCGCGCCACACACACACGGGTCACAAGCACCAGGCGCGCCACACACACTCACGGGTCACAAGCACCAGGCGCGCCACACACACTCACGGGTCACAAGCACCAGGCGCGCCACACACACACGGGTCACAAGCACCAGGCGCGCCACACACACTCACGGGTCACAAGCACCAGGCGCGCCACACACACACGGGTCACAAGCAAAACAAACACACAAGGTTGATTGTGGTGACGGCGCCGGGAAGAAATTCATTCATGAATCTACGTAATGATATACGGCCCGCGGGTTGGTTGAGGGAACGGCCCCCGGGGGGGGGGGAGGGGGAACAGCCCACGGGGGGGGGGAGGGGGAACAGCCCACGGGGGGGGGGAGGGGGAACAGCCCACGGGGGGGAGGGGGTGGGAGGGAACGGCCCGCGGGGGGTGGGGGGGTGAGAGGGAACGGCCCGCGGGGGTGGGGGGGGGAAAGGGAACGGCCCGCGGGGGGGGGGGGTGAGGAAACGGCCCGCAGGGGGGGGGTGAGGGAACGGCCCGCGGGGAGGGGGTGAGGGAACGGCCCGCGGGGGGGATGAGGGAACGGCCCGCGGGGGGTATGAGGGAACGGCCCGCGGGGGGGGGGGTGAGGGAACAGCCCGCGGGGGGGGGAGGAAACGGCCCGCGGGGGGGGGGAGGGAACGGCCCGCGGGGGGGGGGGGGGAGGGAACGGCCCGCGGGGGGGGAGGGATCGGCCCGCGGGGGGGAGTGAGGGAACGGCCCGGGGGGGGGGGGGGGGGGTTGGAGAGGGAACGGCCCGCGGGGGGGGGGTGAGGAAACGGCCCGCGGGAGGGGGGGGGTGAGGGAACGGCCCGCGGGGGGTGGGGAGGGAACGGCCCGCGGGGGGGGGGGGGAGGGAACGGCCCGCGGGGGGGGGGGGGGGAGGGAACGGCCCGCGGGTGGAGGAGGGAACGGCCCGCGGGGTGGGGGTGAGGGAACGGCCCGCGGGGGGGGAGGGAACGGCCCGCGGGGGGGGGAGAGAGAACGGCCCGCGGGGGGTGAGGGAACGGCCCGCGGGGGGTGAGGGAACGGCCCGCGGGGGGTGAGGGAACGGCCCGCGGAGGGGTGAGGGAACGGCCCGCGGAGGGGTGAGGGAACGGCCCGCGGAGGGGTGAGGGAACGGCCCGCGGGGTGGAGGGAACGGCCCACGGGGGCGGGAAGGAACGGCCCACGGGGGGGAAAAAAAAACGGCCCGCGGGGGGGAGGGAACGGCCCACGGGGGCGGGAAGGAACGGCCCACGGGGGGAAAAACGGCCCGCGGGGAGGGGGGAAGGAACGGCCCATGGGGGGAGAGGGAACGGCCCGCGGGGGGTGAGGGAACGGCCCGCGGGGGGTGAGGGAACGGCCCGCGGGGGGTGAGGGAACGGCCCGCGGGGGGTGAGGGAACGGCCCGCGGGGGGTGAGGGAACGGCCCGCGGAGGGGTGAGGGAACGGGCCGCGGAGGGGTGAGGGAACGGGCCGCGGAGGGGTGAGGGAACGGCCCGTGGGGGGGAGGGAACGGCCCACGGGGGGGAAGGAACGGCCCACGGGGGAAAAAACGGCCCGCGGGAAAGGGGAAGGACCGGCCCGCGGGGGAGGTGGCGGAACGGCCCACGGGGGGGAAGGAACGGCCCACGGGGGGGGGAAAGAACGGCCCACGGGGGGGGGGGAAAGAACGGCCCACGGGGGGGGGGAAAGAACGGCCCACGGGGGGGGGAAAGAACGGCCCACGGGGGGGAGGGAACGGCCCATGGGGGGGGGGGAAGAACGGCCCGCGGGGGGTGAGGGAACGGCCCGCGGGGAGTTATGTTATGTTGAGATGATTTCGGGGCTTTAGTGTCCCCGCGGCCCGGTACTCGACCAGGCCTCTACCCCCAGGAAGCAGCCCCTGACAGCTGACTAACACCCAGGTACCTATTTTACTGCTAGGTAATAGGGGCATAGGGTGAAAGAAACTCTGCCCATTGTTTCTCGCCGGCGCCCGGGATCGAACCCGGGACCACAGGATCACAAGTCCAGCGTGCTGTCCGCTCGGCCGACCGGCTCCCCCAGGAGTGAGGGAACGGCCCGCGGGGAGTGAGGGAACGGCACGCGGGGGGGGGGGGTGAGGGAACGGCCCGCGGGGGGGGGTGAGGGAACGGCCCGCGGGGGTGGGGGGTGAGGGAACGGCCCGCGGGGAGGGGTGAGGGAACGGCCCGCGGGGAGGGGTGAGGGAACGGCCCGCGGGGGGGGGGGGTGAGGGAACGGCCCGCGGGGGGGGGGAGGGAACGGCCCGCGGGGAGGGGGGAGGGAACGGCCCGCGGGGGAGTGAGGGAACGGCACGGGGGGGGGGGGGTGAGGGAACGGCCCGGGGGGGGGGGGGTGAGGGAACGGCCCGCGGGGGTGGGGGGTGAGGGAACGGCCCGCGGGGAGGGGTGAGGGAACGGCCCGCGGGGAGGGGTGAGGGAACGGCCCGCGGGAGGGGGGGTGAGGGAACGGCCCGCGGGGGGGGGGAGGGAACGGCCCGCGGGGGGGGGGAGGGAACGGCCCGCGGGGAGGGGGGAGGGAACGGCCCGCGGGGGGGGGGACGAGGGAACGGCCCGCGGGGGGGGGTGATGGAACGGCCCGCGGGGGGGGGTGAGGGAACGGCCCGCGGGGGGGGGGGGTGAGGGAACGGCCCGCGGGGGGTTAGGGAACGGCCCGCGGGGGGTTAGGGAACGGCCCGCGGGGAGGGTGGGGGAAGGGAAGAGGGAACGGTGTCCACGGCCCCCCCCCCCCCACCGTGGGAAACAACTTGTCACACTACAACACTTGGAGTTCACGGAGAATTAAGGAGTGGGAGAGTTAACGTGAATATGAAAGAGGGAATGTTAGGAGGGAGGGGAGCGTTGATGAATGGGACGGTGAGGGTTGTGGGTTGGGGGAGGTGGGGCAGGGGGGAGGAGGAGGTGGGGCAGAAGGGGGAGGAGGAGGTGGGGCAGAAGGGGGAGGAAAAGGTGGGGCAAGGGGGATGAGGAGGTGGTGGGGCAAGGGGGAGGTGGTGGGGCAAGGGGGAGGTGGTGGGGCAAGGGGGAGGTGGTGGGGCAGAAGGGGGAGGAGGAGGTGGGGCAGAAGGGGGAGGAGGAGGTGGGGCAGGGGGGAGAAGGTGGGGCAGGGGGGAAGAGGAGGTGGGGCAGAAGGGGGAGGAGGAGGTGGGGCAGGGGGGAGGAGGTGGTGGGGCAGGGGGGAGGAGGTGGTGGGGCAGGGGGGAGAAGGTGGTGGGGCAGGGGGGAGGAGGTGGTGGGGCAGGGGGGAGGAGGTGGTGGGGCAGGGGGGAGGAGGTGGGGAGGAGGTGGGGAAGGGGGGGGGAGACGCTAGATAGCTTCAAGCAGCAGAAGCAAACGACGGAAGGGAGTCAAATAACTGGTAGGTAACCGAGTGATGTGGACCCGGACCGGGGACACCAGAGAGCAACAGGAGCGTGCCGGGAACACCAGCAACAGGAGCGTGCTGGGAACACCAGCAACAGGAGCGTGCCGGGAACACCAGCAACAGGAGCGTGCCGGGAACACCAGCAACAGGAGCGTGCCGGGAACACCAGCAACAGGAGCGTGCCGGGAAGAACTTACAATAAACACACAGCCTAGCCACGATAAAGAAAACCAACATTTCATGTGTCTGAACCCAACCGTCAGTGTCTGAACCCAACCGTCAGTGTCTGAACCCAACCGTCAGTGTCTGAACCCAACCGTCAGTGTCTGAACCCAAACACGAGTGGACACGAGCCTCGGTGGACACGAGCCACGGTGGACACGAGCCACGGTGGACACGAGCCTCGGTGGACACGAGCCTCGGTGGACACGAGCCTCGGTGGACACGAGCCTCGGTGGACACGAGCCTCGGTGGACACGAGCCACGGTGGACACGAGCCACGGTGGACACGAGCCACGGTGGACACGAGCCTCGGTGGACACGAGCCACGGTGGACACGAGCCACGGTGGACACGAGCCACGGTGGACACGAGCCACGGTGGACACGAGCCACGGTGGACACGAGCCACGGTGGACACGAGCCACGGTGGACACGAGCCACGGTGGACACGAGCCACGGTGGACACGAGCCACGGTGGACACGAGCCACGGTGGACACGAGCCTCGGTGGACACGAGCCTCGGTGGACACGAGCCACGGTGGACACGAGCCTCGGTGGACACGAGCCTCGGTGGACACGAGCCACGGTGGACACGAGCCACGGTGGACACGAGCCTCAGTGGACACGAGCCTCGGTGGACACGAGCCACGGTGGACACGAGCCACGGTGGACACGAGCCACGGTGGACACGAGCCTCAGTGGACACGAGCCTCAGTGGACACGAGCCTCAGTGGACACGAGCCTCAGTGGACACGAGCCTCAGTGGACACGAGCCTCAGTGGACACGAGCCTCAGTGGACACGAGCCTCAGTGGACACGAGCCTCAGTGGACACGAGCCTCAGTGGACACGAGCGTCAGTGGACACGAGCCTCAGTGGACACGAGCGTCAGTGGACACGAGCCACAGTGGACACATGCAGTGTCCACCACAGAACGAGCAGAGGTGCTGGCTGCTGAAGGCGCTGAAAGAGACCATATTGAATACTTCATACCCAAGACTCTACTACAAATTAGAGGTATTGTCAGGCAACATCACCGTGACAAGGTAACTGAGGAAAGGAGGATAGAAGCACAAATCAGTGAATCTGTACGATGGTACAACATGGTTGCAGGTGGCAATCCCAGTCATTATGGCCGAAGAGGTGGCGGCCGCGGGAGAGAATCAGTAATAGTAAGAATTCGTCTTGGATACGAATATCCATGGAGATCGGGGTGGAAACAACAGTTGAGCAGCGGAGTTGCAGAATCTGTGGTGAGAGTGACGGACACCGCCTTGACCACTACCTGAGACAATGTGAACACCTCAGAGACATTAGAAATATGCGTAGAATAATAAACCCTACATTGTTTGATGACGATGTGCTGTTTTAAGATTCAGCTACTCGAAACAAAAGTCGCAAGTAACACGGGCAATGGTTAGCCCGTAATGGAGTTAGGAAAAAAACTATTTGTCAAACATTGATACTGTTCTTAAAAGTTTTCCCCATTTTGCACCCCCCAAAATAACGTAAGATTTTAAGGGTTGACCGATGTTAATCTTCTTGTTTGAGGAGCTGTTCACTTGAGACAGTTACTTGAGACAGTCCCAGCTGTGTCTATGTACAAGTGACAGGATGAACAACCCAGCGGGTTTTCTTCCTATTGGGGAGTGTTGTACATGTTGCTATGGCGGTGTGTCCACTCACAAGATGAGTGGCGCTGCCCAATATACTCGCCCCTCGGGGCAAAAAAAAACTCTGCCATGGAAGCCAAGGGAGTAAAAGATTGGTCAAGAAGTTACAAGGCTCAAAGTTTCCCGTCTCATCTGTTGTGTTATATTTAGTCCCAGACATCCACCCCCACCCTCCTCAATGGGGGAGCCCCACACGTGTAGTCCCCCCCCTCATCAACACCCCCGCCCTTTAACCCCCCTGCCCCCACACCCGTCCCTTATCCCCACCCCCGTCCCTGCTTACACCGTAAGACAGTTAAAAAAAAAAAGGCTAGACACAACAAGGCTAGTAGGCAGGGCGTAGGAGCTAGGCCTCAATGCCCCGTAGTCCCTGTTGGGTAAGAACAATGTAACAGTATTAGGTAAGTAGCCTTAGGTAAGAACAGCTTAGCAGTGTTAGCTAAGTAGTGTTAGGTAAGCCCATGACCACCACGCACGCCTCCGCCCGTCATCTTCAGCCACAAAAAACTGACAAAGATGAACCCAACCGCTCTGGGTGTGGGGGGGGGGGGGCCGAGTGGACCCTCCAGGGAGCACCGAACCACCACCACAAGTTTTTTTTCCAGAGAGCTACTCTCCTAGCCTGCCCGGAGACGGGGGGGGGGGGGGGGGGAAGGGGAGGTACTTTGAGTACTTGATCTGTAAGACTATTGTTTTCAGCGATCCGTAGGCCTCTAACCCTACCTTCTTGCGCCCTCGCGTGCCACTGAATTAACAGATCTACGTGTCTCAGGTATGTTAAAGGTCAAACCCAATACAAATTGTTATTGAATGTCTCCTGATATATATGGCCTATATATAATTACTATTATTATTACTGATATTATTTTCCCTTTATATATATATATATATATATATATATATATATATATATATATATATATATATATATATAAATATATATATATATATATATATATATATATATATATATATATATATATATATATATTATTAAATATGACCGAAAAAGTAAGATTAATAATTCTAACACGAATTTTCTCGATCTTTCGTACGTTTCTTTTCACTGTTGGTGGTAATTCAAAAATCAATTCTCCAAAATTCATTTTTATTTCTAGTCTGACGCGACACTTGAGAGCGTTTCGTAAAACTTATTACATTTTCAAAGACTTTAGCTTACACATAAACCACTGAATAGAACTTACACATCTTCGATTTGTTTATATCTACATTTGAGTGAGGTGGATGGGGTGAGGTGGTATTAATAGGGTATTAAATTCCTAAACACAAGACAGAACACGAAACAATGGGTATTGAATGGAAGTGATTTGTACAAAGCCTATTGGTCCATATTTCCTGATGCTTCTATATTGGAGCGGAGTCTTGAGGTGGGTAGAATATTGTTGTGCATTAATTGGCTGTTGATTGCTGGTGTTGACTTCTTGATGTGTAGTGCCTTGCAGACGTCAAGCCGCCTGCTATTGCTGTATCTATCGATGATTTCTGTGTTGTTTACTAGGATTTCTCTGGCGATGGTTTGGTTGCGGGAAGAGATTATATGTTCCTTAATGGAGCCCTGTTGCTTATGCATCGTTAAACGCCTAGAAAGAGATGTTGTTGTCTTGCCTATATACTGGTTTTTTGGGGCTTACAGTCCCCAAGAGGGCATTTGAAGGCATAGACGACGTTGGTCTCTTTTAAAGCGTTCTGCTTTGTGTCTGGAGAGTTTCTCATGAGTAGGCTGGCCGTTTTTCTGGTTTTATAGTAAATCGTCAATTGTATCCTCTGATTTTTGTCTGTAGGGATAACGTTTCTATTAACAATATCATTCAGGACCCTTTCCTCCGTTGTATGAGCTGTGGAAAAGAAGTTCCTGTAAAATAGTCTAATGGGGGGTATAGGTGTTGTGTTAGTTGTCTCTTCAGAGGTTGCATGGCATTTCACTTTCCTTCTTATGATGTCTTCGACGAAACCATTGGAGAAGCCGTTGTTGACTAGGACCTGCCTTACCCTACAGAGTTCTACGTCGACTTGCTTCCATTCTGAGCTGTGGCTGAGAGCACGGTCGACATATGCGTTAACAACACTCCTCTTGTACCCGTCTGGGCAGTCGCTGTTGGCATTTAGGCACATTCCTATGTTTGTTTCCTTAGTGTAGACTGCAGTGTGGAAACCTCCGCTCTTTTCCATGACTGTTACATCTAGAAAGGGCAGCTTCCCATCCTTTTCCATCTCGTAAGTGAAACGCAGCACGGAACTCTGCTCAAATGCCTCCTTCAGCTCCTGCAGATGTCTGACATCAGGTACTTGTGTAAAAATGTCGTCAACATACCTGCAGTATATGGCCGGTTTCAAGTTCATGTCGACTAAGACTTTTTGCTGGATGGTACCCATGTAGAAGTTTGCAAACAGGACACCTAGGGGAGAACCCATGGCGACCCCATCTACTTGCTTATACATGTGCCCATCCGGGCTCAAGAAGGGTGCCTCTTTAGTACAAGCTTGGAGTAGTTTCCTTAGAATATTTTCTGGTATGTCAAGAGGAGTACAGGCTGGATCACGATACACTCTGTCGGCTATCATCCCGATTGTCTCGTCCACAGGTACGTTGGTGAACAGTGATTCTACGTCCAACGAGGCTCTCATCCCTGTGGCCCGTGTGCCCCGCAGTAAGTCAACAAATTCTTTTGGAGACTTCAGGCTGAAGGCGCAAGGGACATAAGGAGTCAGCAGGCCGTTGAGTCGCTTCGCCAGTCTGTACGTGGGTGTGAGTATCTGGCTAATGATTGGCCGAAGTGGGTTTCCAGGCTTGTGCGTCTTGACATTTCCATACGCATATCCAGGTTTATATTCCCCAATAATTTTTGGCAGGTGGAGTCCTGATTTCTTGGCGTTCACAGTTTCAATCAGTTTGTTGAACTTTGCTTTCAATTCGGCTGTAGTGTCCTTCGTTACCCTTTGGAATTTAGTTTGGTCAGAGAGTATGAGGTTCATTTTCGCCAGATATTCGTCTTTTTTAAGAATGGCGAATATTGGCGACATGTCATCTCTCCTGACAACTATCTCCTTGTTCTCACGAAGGCTTTTAGCTGCCGCTTTGAACTCGGGGGACAGTATGGTGCTTCTGTAATTGCCTCGATTCTTTCCTCCTTCCGCAATAAGTTCTGCTTGTAAGGTATCTTTGGTAGTGACCTTCTTTTGTGTCTCGAGGTCGAATATGTCGTCCAACAGAATTTCCAACTCCACTTTCCGGGCCATCTCACTCGGTCTGGACATAACGTGACAGTTTATGCCCAGATTTAGGAGAGTGACTAGGTCCTCAGTGAGGTTAATTCCTGCAAGGTTCAGGAAGCCATCTCTTGGTCGTGGAATTGCCGTAGGTCCTCCATATAACGTTGTTAGTTTCTTGATAATCCTTGTTTCAGTGCTGAGGTGATGTCGGTCTGTGAGGATGTCGAGGTGTTGTTCAATGCGGGTACGGATACTTTCGTCGATGTTGCTATTTCTCCACTCGTTTGTAGCATGAAGTAGTTGCGTTTTGTTGTCTTTGTTTTCATTCTCTGCCTTATATATCTGATCACGAATCAGATCCTGGCGATATTTTATCGTGAAGGCTTGATTCCTTGCTGCTGGGTCGTGCGTTTTAATATTAGTATATTTTGGTAGCAGTCTTTCCTGTAGACATATATTATTAAATATGACCGAAAAAGTAAGATTAATAATTCTACCACGAATTTTCTCAATCTTTCGTACATTTCTTTTCACTGTTGGTGGTAATTCAAAAATCAATTCTCCAAAATTCATTTTTATTTCTAGTCTGACGCGACACTTGAGCGCGTTTCATAAAACTTATTACATTTTCAAAGACTTTAGTTTACACATACACAACTGAATAGAACTTACACATCTCCGATTTGTTTATATCTACATTTGAGTGAGGTGGATGGGGTGAGGTGGTATTAATAGGGTATTAAATTCATCAACACAAGACAGAACACGAAACAATGGGTATTGAATGGAAGTGATTGTAGAAAGCCTATTGGTCCATATTTCTTGATGCTTCTATATTGGAGCAGAGTCTTGAGGTGGGTAGAATATAGTTGTGCATTAATTGGCTGTTGATTGCTGGTGTTGACTTCTTAATGTGTAGTGCCTCGCAAACGTCAAGCCGTCTGCTATCGCTGTATCTATCGATGATTTCTGTGTTGTTTACTAGGATTTCTCTGGCGATGGTTTGGTTGTGGGAAGAGATTATATGTTCCTTAATGGAACCCTGTTGCTTATGCATCGTTAAACGCCTAGAAAGAGATGTTGTCATACTGTTAACAATATCCTTCATTCCCGCTCCTGGATATTAAACCCTTAGCCTATTTTCCCTATCTCAAGCATAAGAAGTTCTGTCTAAATACCTCACTTGGGAATAACCTACAACCATAATGCGCTCACTTTATTTACCGGCGCTCCTTTCCTCGCATTACCCTTGGGGCGAACTCCAGCCTCCCTATAGCACTCGTCCTCCGAAACGGCGATTAAGTGGAGGTCTTCACGAAAGCTGTAGCACACCTGGTCAGGGTCTATCAAAGTCCTTTGTGACACTCCAAGACGAGGACTTCCTAAGACTGCTCTCCTCCTGTGGTTCCTCTTGTGGGCAGACACGCTGTTTCATCCGCCTAAGCTCCCTCGTGCAGTGAATCCAATTCTGTCCCCAGAGCACCACACATCTTCACCAGTCCCCTCAACACCTTCCATTATTGGCACCTAACACAACGAGATGGACATCGAGAGCGTAGGCTATGAAGAAACTCTAGGATCCAGTCATCATTATGTTCTGATACTTGGCAATTTGCTCTAATGAAAGCAGAACACTTAACTGTAAGGTGAACTGGGTCAGAAAATACATGGCTAACGGGAGATAGTAACAGTAGAGGTAACGGGTGAACTGGAGCAGAGAGAAGTGAGGAGCAGGGTACCTCACGCATCAGTACTGGGTCCTGTACTATTCTCGCTCAGCTCTATGAAAAGATTTAATAGAGCAACTGTAATGTTTCACGTTGATCTTTGCAGATGAATAAAACTAACGAAAAGAATATGAATGGAGGACGGCAGAATCCTTGAGGATGACCTGGAGAAATTACAGAGATGGCTGCTAGACATCAACCCCCAGAAATGCAAAGTAATTAGGGCAGAGGTAGAATGGTGGGAGACTTTAGCCATAGAAGACTTTGATGTTAGACACAAAATCCAGGATTCATTAAGCGTTGACGTGTCCACTTACGAAACCTGTACATCTTTCCTCGACGTGGCGGCTTAATTTGCATTTATTAAACAGCTATGAGCTTCGAAACTTCACAACCCAAAATATAAATGTACAACCTCACAGCGCTTCGGAGCTAATAACTTAATTGCTTAATGCAAACAAAGCCACTATGATCGAGGAAAGATGTACTGGTTTCGTAGGTGGACACGTAAACGTTTGATAAATGGTGGTCCAGCTACGCTCGAGGGAGTAACTCATCACCCTCACACCCTCCACCACATTTATTTATTTATACAAGTAGTTACACTGGGTTTATGAGAGTACATGCCATGATGTGTTCACATTCTTGTAAAGCCACTAGTATGCACAGCGTTTCGGACATCTCATCTCTCACTCTTCAAATTGTAAAGGAGTTAGATTTTTTTTGTTCTACCACAGACGTGGCCACACATTTACAATGCTAACCAGAATATATACATTTTCTTCTGTCCTCCGTGGACAGAGTTAGAGAGCTGTTAAACATATTGGTCAGTGACGGTTGAAGTGACAACCAATCACGAGGCAGCTAGGCCTCTGACATCATACCCCATATAGAGCGTAGGCCAGTCAGTGTATATAGTGAAGGCTAGAGCAGTTGGAGCTCTGGTGCCCCGGATATTGTGTTCTCTCTCACAATAAAGCACCATCGAAGGAACCTGAGTGTACTCTCTACATGCCCAGGTGAGAAGGGAAGGGAACTATCAGGGAAAGCGCCAAACCATTATGACTAAATAGCACTTGGAAGGAGTTAGGATAAGGATTTGGAATGGGACGTGGGGAAGGAATGGTGCCCAATCACTTGGACGGTCGGGGATTGAACGCAGACCTGCATGTTCGGTGAAGTGTTGCGGCTTTTCTTCTTGGTTGAAGATATGTTAAGACTCCCAAGGAAGAGTCTTCACCATATCTTCAACAACCAACAAGGAAAGGTTAACACTTCACCGGTGACGTCCAGCGGTGGCCAGGTGTGAGCTCACTGAAGTCAGCGCCAGTCGCTCCGCTTAACGAGGCTGACGACCTAGTACAATATCAGTGCCACTGTACAGCTCAGCTCATTACCACCACCCGCCGCTTATATTAACCTCCTCCACACACAAAACAAATATATAGCTTAATGGTAGGAGTCATCCAAGGATAACTTGGCTCTATACTACATGGTAGTTGGAACTACCTATTATCAGTTAAAACAAGGATGGGTAGAGTTACAACAGTCATGGGTAGAGTTACAACATGCATGGGTAGAGTTACAACAGTCATGGGTAGAGTTACAACAGGCATGGGTAGAGTTACAACAGTCATGGGTAGAGTTACAACAGGCATGGGTAGAGTTACAACAGTCATGGGTAGAGTTACAACAGTCATGGGTAGAGTTACAACAGTCATGGGTAGAGTTACAACATGCATGGGTAGTTACAACAGTCATGGGCAGAGTTACAACAGTCATGGGTAGAGTTACAATGTAACACTGTAAAGTGTTTGGTTTAGTTTAATACATACATAGAGTACATGAGTCACAGACAAGGATCTGAGAGGCACCAGTTGTCTGCCGGAGATCTCACACCTCAAAGCGTTAATGACCTCAAGTGACCTGAGGTCAGATCATGAGAATTTCACCTTGCTTCCGCTAAGCTTATAATTGTAGTCTGGTAGCCTTCAAACATGCCGACGTTTAAGGAGTGGCTTGGTAATGCCGGAGGCTATCTACTTGTGGGCGGAGTTAGTACTAGGATCCCCAATATATACTGAGGGAGCATAGAGTATTAAGCATTAACGAGACAGAAGAACGGCAGTCAACAGAAGCAGAGGAGACGGCCCTAGCAGGGAGGCTGTTGGCCGGCAGGGCGGGAGTCTCTGTCAACTACAGACACCCCCCCCTCTCTATCCAGCTATAGGCAGAGACACTTGGTGAGTTGAGCAGTAAGGTGACTTGGTCGTGTTTACATATGTTGTGTGATGATCAGGGGCAGTCAAGTTGTAGGGTTCTCGAATTCTTGGATGATGACTCACTTTGCATATTAAACTGGAACATTTTTAATTGAATTGCTAAATTATGATACTTCATGTGAAAATATAATTATGAATTTATTATTTAAATTGTGTTTAACTTCGTTCCCTAGAGCTTTGAGTTGAGGATTTGAGAAAGCCTCTGTGGTTACTGGTTTCATGATATAAATGAGTACATGTTTGGAGTTGATACATGGTAATAACATCTTTTGAGAATATTTTGATACAGGCAAGTTCCATTCCTTGTCTTGTATGTAATGATCATGAATGGATGGTGGCAGCATTTCGTCTTCTACTATCTACTCTTCTACTTCTACTATCTACTCTTCTCCTTCTACCTATCTACACCTCTCCCTCCACCCCTCTCTAAACTCTCACTTTCAACTAATGACCCTCCTCGCTCCTCCCACCTCCCTACCTCTCAACCCGAACCCTCACTAATTACTTCACTATTCATTTCTTTCCTCTCGTTTTCTCTTATACGTTTGTGGCAATGATTCTGTATTCTAGAGTTCTCTCTAGAGTTTCGGGTAGCTGATCCAGTGACGGCGCCTTGTAGTCTTAGCACCTAGGTAGTCAAATACCTAGGTTACAAGGTGTTGAACGAGAGAGGTTGCCTTAGGATCTCTGGGAGTGCTCTAGAATAGTTAGCTAACTGGGGACGGGATAACGGACTAGAGAGAGCTGTTTCCCCCGGCCTCGTTAGTTAACTGGAGGGTGGAATAATGGACAAGATAGAGCTATTTCCCCCACCCCCCGTTACAACAACATGCATGGGTAGAGTTACAACAGTCATGGGTAGAGTTACAACAGTCATGGGTAGAGTTACAACATGCATGGGTAGAGTTACAACAGTCATGGGTAGAGTTACAACAGTCATGGGTAGAGTTACAACATGCATGGGTAGAGTTACAACAGTCATGGGTAGAGTTACAACATGCATGGGTAGAGTTACAACAGTCATGGGTAGAGTTACAACATGCATGGGTAGAGTTACAACAGTCATGGGTAGAGTTACAACAGTCATGGGTAGAGTTACAACATGCATGGGTAGAGTTACAACAGTCATGGGTAGAGTTACAACATGCATGGGTAGAGTTACAACAGTCATGGGTAGAGTTACAACATGCATGGGTAGAGTTACAACAGTCATGGGTAGAGTTACAACATGCATGGGTAGAGTTACAACATGCATGGGTAGAGTTACAACAGTCATGGGTAGAGTTACAACATGCATGGGTAGAGTTACAACAGTCATGGGTAGAGTTACAACATGCATGGGTAGAGTTACAACAGTCATGGGTAGAGTTACAACATGCATGGGTAGAGTTACAACAGTCATGGGTAGAATTACAACATGCATGGGTAGAGTTACAACAGTCAAGGGTAGAGTTACAACATGCATGGGTAGAGCTACAACAGTCATGGGTAGAGTTACAACAGACATGGGTAGAGTTACAACATGCATGGGTAGAGTTACAACAGACATGGGTAGAGTTACAACATGCATGGGTAGAGTTACAACAGTCATGGGTAGAGTTACAACAGTCTTGGGTAGAGTTACAACAGTCATGGGTAGAGTTACAACAGTCATGGGTAGAGTTACAACATGCATGGGTAGAGTTACAACAGACATGGGTAGAGTTACAACATGCATGGGTAGAGTTACAACAGTCATGGGTAGAGTTACAACATGCATGGGTAGAGTTACAACAGACATGGGTAGAGTTACAACATGCATGGGTAGAGTTACAACATACATGGGTAGAGTTACAACATGCATGGGTAGAGTTACAACAGACATGGGTACAGTTACAACATGCATGGGTAGAGTTACAACAGACATGGGTAGAGTTACAACATGCATGGGTAGAGTTACAACATGCATGGGTAGAGTTACAACAGACATGGGTACAGTTACAACAGACATGGGTAGAGTTACAACATGCATGGGTAGAGTTACAACAGACATGGGTACAGTTACAACATGCATGGGTAGAGTTACAACAGACATGGGCAGAGTTACAACAGGCATAGGTAGAGTTACAACAGACATGGGCAGAGTTACAACAGGCATAGGTAGAGTTACAACAGACATGGGCAGAGTTACAACATGCATGGGTAGAGTTACAACAGACATGGGTAGAGTTACAACAGACATGGGTAGAGTTACAACAGACATGGGTAGAGTTACAACAGACATGGGTAGAGTTACAACAGACATGGGTACAGTTACAACAGACATGGGTAGAGTTACAACAGACATGGGTACAGTTACAACAGACATGGGTAGAGTTACAACAGACATGGGTACAGTTACAACAGACATGGGTAGAGTTACAACAGACATGGGTAGAGTTACAACAGACATGGGTAGAGTTACAACAGACATGGGTAGAGTTACAACAGGCATAGGTAGAGTTACAACAGTCATGGGTAGAGTTACAACAGTCATGGGTAGAGTTACAACATGCATGGGTAGAGTTACAACAGTCATGGGTAGAGTTACAACAGACATGGGTAGAGTTACAACATGCATGGGTAGAGTTACAACAGACATGGGTACAGTTACAACATGCATGGGTAGAGTTACAACAGACATGGGTAGAGTTACAACATGCATGGGTAGAGTTACAACAGTCATGGACAGAGTTACAACAGACATGGACAGAGTCACAACAGGCATGGACAGAGTCACAACAGGCATGGACAGAGTCACAACAGACATGGACAGAGTCACAACAGGCATGGACAGAGTTACAACAGACATGGGTACAGTTACAACAGGCATGACTAACAACCGTAGGGTAAACAGCTGACACTTACTAGTCTGTAAACACCCCACTCCACGCTTTCCTCAGACTCAAGACCCCTAATGAACGACTCTTGCAATTAAACTTCATAATTACCTTACGTATTTAATCATGCAGGAGGCAGTATTTACGAGGGTGAAGACCACAGCTTTAGCGTGTCGTCTGGTACTGTATAATACACTACTCGCAACAACAGCAGCAACACTACAACAACGATACAACATGGATCATGTTGGATACAACATGGATCATGGATACAACATGGATCATGGATACAACATGGATCATGGATACAACATGGATCATGGATACAACATGGATTTTATCTCCTAAAAAATTAATTTAAATGAAAATAAACTAAAATTATTGGTTCTGATGTTCAAATAATGACACCATCACTTGGCCCCCAACACCTGCACCACCACTTGGCCCGCAACACCTGCACTACCACTTGGCTCCCAAACACCTGCACCACCACTTGGCCCCCAAACACCTGCACCACCACTTGGCCTCCCAACACCTGCACCACCACTTGGCCCCCAACACCTGCACCACCACTTGGCCCCCAACACCTGCACCACCACTTGGCCCCCAAAACCTGCACCATCACTTGGCCCCCAACACCTGCACCACCACTTGGCCCCCAACACCTGCACTACCACTTGGCTCCCAAACACCTGCACCATCACTTGGCCCCCAAACACCTGCACCACCACTTGGCCTCCCAACACCTGCACTACCACTTGGCTCCCAAACACCTGCACCACCACTTGGCCCCCAAACACCTGCACCACCACTTGGCCTCCCAACACCTGCACCACCACTTGGCCCCCAACACCTGCACCACCACTTGGCCCCCAACACCTGCACCACCACTTGGCCCCCAACACCTGCACCACCACTTGGCCCCCAACACCTGCACCACCACTTGGCCCCCAACACCTGCACCATCACTTGGCCCCCAACACCTGCACCACCACTTGGCCCCCAACACCTGCACCACCACTTGGCCCCCAACACCTGCACCACCACTTGGCCCCCAACACCTGCACCACCACTTGGCCCCCAACACCTGCACCACCACTTGGCCCCCAACACCTGCACCATCACTTGGCCCCCAACACCTGCACCATCACTTGGCCCCCAACACCTGCACCATCACTTGGCCCCCAACACCTGCACCATCACTTGGCCCCCAACACCTGCACCACCACTTGGCCCCCAACACCTGCACCACCACTTGGCCCCCAACACCTGCACCACCACTTGGCCCCCAACACCTGCACCACCACTTGGCCCCCAACACCTGCACCACCACTTGGCCCCCAACACCTGCACCACCACTTGGCCCCCAACACCTGCACCACCACTTGGCCCCCAACACCTGCACCACCACTTGGCCCCCAACACCTGCACCATCACTTGGCCCCCAACACCTGCACCATCACTTGGCCCCCAACACCTGCACCATCACTTGGCCCCCAACACCTGCACCACCACTTGGCCCAAAACACCTGCACCACCACTTAGCCCCCCAAACACCTGCACCACCACTTAGCCCCCCAAACACCTGCACCACCACTTAGCCCCCAAACACCTGCACCACCACTTAGCCCCCCAAACACCTGCACCACCACTTAGCCCCCCAAACACCTGCACCACCACTTGGCCCAAAACACCTGCACCACCACTTAGCCCCCCAAACACCTGCACCACCACTTAGCCCCCCAAACACCTGCACCACCACTTAGCCCCCCAAACACCTGCACCACCACTTAGCCCCCCAAACACCTGCACCACCACTTAGCCCCCCAAACACCTGCACCACCACTTAGCCCCCCAAACACCTGCACCACCACTTAGCCCCCCAAACACCTGCACCACCACTTAGCCCCCCAAACACCTGCACCACCACTTAGCCCCCAACACCTGCACCATCACTTGGCCCCCAACACCTGCACCACCACTTGGCCCAAAACACCTGCACCACCACTTGGCCCCCAAACACCTGCACCACCACTTGGCCCCCAACACCTGCACCACCACTTGGCCACCAAAACCTGCACCACCACTTGGCCCCCAACACCTGCACCACCACTTAGCCCCCCAAACACCTGCACCACCACTTGGCCACCAACACCTGCACCGCCTCTCACTTCCCACAACTCAGTGGGAACTCGCTACTTTTCTCTCAAGTTTTCCTGGCCTCAGGTCTTGTCTTGAGACGTTAGTCACCAGCAGTAAAGATGGTTGCCTGCTTCCCTGCTGCCTCCCTGCCTGCTTCCCTGCTGCCTGCCTGCCTCCCTGCCTGCTTGCCTGCTGCCTCCCTGCCTCCCTCCCTGCCTGCCTGCCTGCCTCCCTGCCTCCCTGCCTGCCTGCCTCCCTGCCTGCCTGCCTGCCTGCCTCCCTGCCTGCCTGCCTGCCTGCCTGCCTGCCTGCCTGCCTGCCTGCCTCCCTGCCTGCCTCCCTGCCTGCCTGCCTGCCTGCCTGCCTGCCTGCCTGCCTCCCTGCCTGCCTGCCTGCTTCCCTGCTGCCTCCCTGCCTGCTTGCCTGCTGCCTCCCTGCCTCCCTGCCTCCCTGCCTGCCTGCCTGCCTGCCTCCCTGCCTGTCTGCCTGCCTGCCTCCCTGCCTCCCTGCCTGCCTGCCTGCCTCCCTGCCTGCCTGCCTCCCTGCCTGCCTGCCTGCCTGCCTGCCTGCCTGCCTGCCTCCCTGCCTGCCTCCCTGCCTGCCTGCCTGCCTGCCTGCCTGCCTCCCTGCCTGCCTGCCCGCCTGCCTCCCTGCCTGCCTGCCTGCCTGCCTGCCTGCCTGCCTGCCTGCCTCCCTGCCCGCCTGCCTCCCTGCCTGCCTGCCTGTCTGCCTGTCTGCCTGCCTGCCTCCCTGCCTCCCTGCCTGCCTGCCTGCCTCCCTGCCTGCCTGCCTCCCTGCCTGCCTGCCTGCCTGCCTGCCTGCCTGCCTGCCTGCCTGCCTGCCTGCCTGCCTGCCTGCCTCCCTGCCCGCCTGCCTGCCTGCCTGCCTGCCTGCCTGCCTGCCTGCCTGCCTGCCTGCCTGCCTGCCTGCCTGCCTGCCTGCCTGCCTGCCTGCCTGCCTGCCTGCCTGCCCGCCTGCCTGCCTGCCTGCCTGCCTGCCTGCCTGCCTGCCTGCCTGCCTGCCTGCCTGCCCGCCTGCCTCCCTGCCTGCCTGCCTGTCTGCCTGTCTGCCTGCCTGCCTCCCTGCCTGCCTGCCTGCCTGCCTGCCTCCCTGCCTGCCTGCCTCCCTGCCTGCCTGCCTGCCTGCCTGCCTGCCTGCCTGCCTGCCTGCCTGCCTGCCTGCCTGCCTCCCTGCCTGCCTGCCTGCCTGCCTGCCTGCCTGCCTGCCTGCCTGCCTGCCTGCCTGCCTCCCTGCCTGCCTGCCTGCCTGCCTGCCTGCCTGCCTGCCTGCCTGCCTGCCTGCCTGCCTCCCTGCCTGCCTGCCTGCCTGCCTGCCTGCCTGCCTGCCTGCCTGCCTGCCTCCCTGCCTGCCTGCCTGCCTCCCTGCCTGCCTGCCTGCCTGCCTGCCTGCCCGCCTGCCTCCCTGCCTGCCTGCCTGCCTGCCTCCCTGCCTGCCTGCCTGCCTGCCTGCCTGCCTGCCTGCCTGCCTGCCTGCCTGCCTGCCTGCCTGCCTGCCTGCCTGCCTGCCTGCCTGCCTGCCTGCCTGCCTGCCTGCCTGCCTGCCTCCCTGCCTGCCTCTGCCTGCCTGCCTGCCTGCCTGCCTGCCTGCCTCCCTGCCTGCCTGCCTGCCTGCCTGCCTGCCTGCCTGCCTGCCTCCCTGCCTGCCTGCCTGCCTGCCTGCCTGCCTCCCTGCCTGCCTGCCTGCCTGCCTGCCTGCCTGCCTGCCTGCCTGCCTGCCTGCCTGCCTGCCTGCCTGCCTGCCTGCCTGCCTGCCTGCCTGCCTGCCTGCCTGCCTGCCTGCCTGCCTGCCGGCCTGCCTGCCTGCCTGCCTGCCTGCCTGCCTGCCTGCCTCCCTGCCTGCCTGCCTGCCTGCCTGCCTGCCTGCCTGCCCCCTGCCTGCCTGCCTGCCTGCCTGCCTGCCTGTCTGCCTGCCTGCCTGCCTGCCTGCCTCCCTGCCTGCCTCCCTGCCCGCCTGCCTGCCTGCCTGCCTGCCTGCCTGCCTGCCTGCCTGCCTGCCTGCCTGCCTGCCTGCCTGCCTGCCTGCCTGCCTGCCTGCCTGCCTCCCTGCCTGCCTGCCTGCCTGCCTGCCTGCCTGCCTGCCTGCCTGCCTGCCTGCCTCCCTGCCCGCCTGCCTGCCTGCCTCCCTGCCTGCCTGCCTGCCTGCCTGCCTGCCTCCCTGCCTGCCTGCCTGCCTGCCTGCCTGCCTGCCTGCCTGCCTGCCTCCCTGCCCGCCTCCCTGCCTGCCTGCCTGCCTGCCTGCCTGCCTGCCTGTCTGCCTGCCTGTCTGCCTGCCTGCCTCCCTGCCTGCCTGCCTGCCTGCCTGCCTCCCTGCCTGCCTCCCTGCCTGCCTGTCTGCCTGCCTCCCTGCCTGCCTGCCCGCCTCCCTGCCTGCCTGCCTGCCTGCCTGCCTGCCTGCCTGCCTGCCTGCCTGCCTGCCTGCCTGCCTGCCTGCCTGCCTGCCTGCCTGCCTGCCTGCCTGCCTGCCTGCCTGCCTGCCTGCCTGCCTGCCTGCCTGCCTGCCTGCCTGCCTGCCCCTGCCTGCCTGCCTGCCTGCCTGCCTCCCTGCCTGCCTGCCTGCCTGCCTGCCTGCCTGCCTGCCTGCCTGCCTGCCTGCCTGCCTGCCCGCCCGCCCTGCCTGCCTGCCTGCCTGTCTGCCTGCCTGCCTCCCTGCCTGCCTGCCTGCCCGCCCGCCTGCCTGCCTCCCTGCCTGCCTGCCTGCCTGCCTGCCTGCCTGCCTGCCTGCCTGCCTGCCTGCCTGCCTGCCTGCCTGCCCCTGCCTGCCTGCCTGCCTGCCTGCCTGCCTGCCTGCCTGCCTGCCTGCCTGCCTGCCTGTCTGCCTGCCTGCCTGCCTG